CCCCCTCGCACAGCAGAAACAGCAAAAAGCAAAATTCAGTCAAAATTTAGCCAGAGGGATGGAGGAAGAGGGGAAGAGGACACAAAAACACAGCCGGAACAAATACTAAGCTGCAGCCTTTGGCTTTAAAAGCTAACAGGGGATATTTAGAGATTATTTCTAACCCTTGTAGAAACTCTCTCCAGATCTGCCCAGAGCAGTTTTGTTTAAAGAAATGACGATGGCAGCAACAGTAGGAAAGCTAACTTCAAAACCATAAAGTTTACAGCTTGATTTGCAGCTCAGCACTTCCCACACACACTTACTCCACTGTTTGAAACAGTTTGAATGAGGCTCTGATAGAAGTCAGCGATTTCTGGGGTTTTTTAAAAGCTGAATTCCCAGGTTAATTCCCAGTGAACACTGTCCAAACTGTCTCTTTCCTCCATAGTCCAAGGGTCTGTCACCGAAGCCACAAAAATCAAGTACCTTAAGACTATTCAGTCCGAGGGAACCAAAAATCCATCTGCTAGAGAGGGGAATAGCCATCCGTTCCAGTGAATCCAAAGAAGTGTTTCTGTTTCTCAGTAAACCTTGAGGTTTACTGGAGAGGGAAGCACTTCTGGAGAGGGAAGCACTTCATCTCCAGCAACAGCCGAGACAACACGGGATAGAGGGGACAAAGACATGACAACAAGAAGGCAAGAAAGATGGATGCCTTTAGATAGGGAGTTCAGCAGCAAAGACTGGAAAGAGTGATACAGGTCAAGCAGAGGTAAGTCAAGGAGCCTAGACATTAGAGGACTGATTGGGAATTTTCTCCCTATAAAATTGGAGATTGTGCAAATTTCTGTCTTGATAAATCTTTGACAAGAAATTCAGTATTCGTATGAATCCCCCTCTCAGAAGAGAGCAGGGTAAGATGGAGAGAAGGGCCTGACCTAAGATCAGTAACTTTACAGAACTCAACCAACAGCAACAGGAAAGATCCCAAAAGCAGAGATCCCATCTCTTTGTTGTCCTTCAGGGCTGAATGAACTCCCTTTGTGCCATCACAAAACTGACATCCCAATACACCTAAGGTCAGAACTGAGTGACACTTGTCAGGCCTCTGCTATCATAACACATACTAGACATGCTACTGCTGACCTGAACAGAAAATTTGGGCTATAATCTGACATGGGCAAGTTTTGAGGCCTCCCTCCGCAGTTCTTCAGAGAGCAAAGATGCTGCATGCTGCCAAGGGCCCCAGCCCCTGCAGCAGGGAAGGGTGCTGAGTTATAAGCATGTAACTCATGGTCTGAAGTCCTTAGACTGGAGGGCAATTTCTGGAGGGCAATTTAAAAAAAAAAAAAAAAAAAAAAAAAAAAAAAAAAAAAAAAAAAAAAAAAAAAAAAAAAAAAAAAAAGAGGTAACTGCAACAGCACACAAATACGGAAAACAGAGCAACATTTGAGATCACACAGGTTTGTTCTGTACTTACATAAATGTTAACAGACCTTGAAGTGAAGGCTGACACATGAATATCAGCTTAGGTCCAACTCACCTTGTTCAGTCAGATGTTAGACAGGGTACAAATGTTTTCATTGACAAATGAAAAGAGACTGTAGATCTTTTGAAACAGATGGCGTGCAAACTCCATGAGGTGCTGTTCAGCCATCCCTCGGCAGAGTCTAGCCAGAGTTGTTTAAACACTACTTTGAGCAGGCTGGGCCAATACAAATATTATAAACTGGGATTAGCAACCAAAGACCTGGTCTGAGCACAACAAAAGAAAAGAAAAACTGACCTACACAGTATTTCATCACCCCTGACATTTAGAAAATTTGCTTAGATCTCTCAGCATACAGTTTGTAAGATGGTGTGGAGCTACTGGAAAACAAGACATCAAAATGTTCCTGTGAGGTTAAGATCAAGACTGGCTCTTTCCAACCCTGTCTTTATTCAACTTTCCTTCTTGGGAAAACCACTAGCAGATGTCTCCCTCTGCATAGCGTGGGGCTTGTTGGCCATGACTTGGCTTCCAGAACTGTGCTTGCTTTACTAAGTTCTCACTCTCACTCCTGTTCTCATCTTCATCCAGCAAGGAACAGGGCAACAGCTTTAAAAAGTTTGAGGAAGAGGCTGAAGAGAATTTGAAGAGTGATGTTTTGTGCTCATGCTGATTGACATTCCTCCTTTCAGACCACCTTCATGCATTATTGTCTGTAAAAGGGATCCATTAAGCAGCTCTCCCAGCCCTATTTGCTTGCTAAGTTGGTTTCACAATTATTATGTGAGGAGGAAACAGTTCAGTGTAGACATGAACTCATTTGGATTCGTGCCCTCAGGCAAATGCAACTACAGTGGAAATCTTATGCATATGAGGTGTAATAAGCCGGAACGGAAAGGAGGCCATATTTCAGGGAGTAAACTGCTTACTGTAAGCTAGATCAGCACAACAGCCACACCAGTTAAGAGCTAGATTGCTCATTACTGCATCACAAAGCCCAAAATTAAGAATTACCTGCATGTGTATCCTTGTTGAATTGCATATGTAACGCAGAAGTTTTACTAAATTCTAGTCTGCATCTTTCTTGTATTCTCCAGCCAAAACTCTTTTCAAGTTTGGCTTTCAGTGCTTCCAACACTGAAAAGCAGAAAGGATTGTCAGGAATTCTGTTAGCACCAGTCCTGTCAAGTGCTACATCTCACTCAAGCCAAAAATTTAACAAAATTTGTTATTTAACAAAATAAAACTGGGTAGGGGGAGAAGGGATCCAAGTGTAAGTGCATACAGTCCAAGTAACTGACTGGCAGAAAGTATTTTATTTAGAAAAAAAGGACTCCATCCTCTAGAAGATAAACATTATAATTTGTGCATTAATTATAGCTCATTTACCTTCCTTATCCAAAGGCCTATATTTCCTCCTCCCAACTGGATTTAGAAGCAAAGGACTGAGCCTTTATACAAACAAGCTAATGGATTCTAATGGCTTACCCTGATGCAACGTCATTTAATCACAGAAGCACTTCATTTTCCCTGCTGTATTGAGGGAAGGAAAACAAATAAAGACTGCATCCACATTCAACCAACTCATCTAAACACCTCTTATTTCAGTTTTCAAATTCCATTATTCTCATTGTAGTCAAATTTTCTCATGCTTTCATCTTAGTAGACTCTTTCCTCTCCCTTACATTTAAGAAAAAAAAATAACCAATCTTTAGCTCCCTATATTTCCCAGATCACTTTTCACTAAGTAATTCCAAAGAAGTCATTCATATATTTATTTATTTTATAGTAGTTACCAGTTTTGCTCATTGTTTCCTCAACTCTAAATTTACTTCATAGGAAATCAGTCCATATTAAAAAAAAAAGATCCTGATTTAATTACGTTACTTTCACTTTTCATTTAAAGTACTTAGTACTCAAGCAATGCTCCACACACCAGGAACTGGCATCCAAAAAAAAACCAACCCCAAAACACACAACCAAACCAACCCAGATACAACAACTTAATACTGCGTCTGCTTTTTAAAGACTTTTCATCTTCTCTTCCCAACTGTCCCCAAATCCTGTTCCCATCACATGTTGTTTCTTTTGGTTGCATTCTGTTTCCTTATCTCTGTTCTTATTTATTTCACTTACTCTTTACTCCACACGCTCCCAATTCTTTGTCAAGACAATTCTTTCTCCAAGGGAGTGGACCAGAGACCCAACCGGACAGTACAGTCACCAGTGCTTCTCCACACCCAGAGTAAACAACTAGTCTAATTTCTTCTCCAGTACCTTTTACCTATGTAGCCCACTGGGGCCACCCGCTCAGCCTTTTTCTCTCCCTTCTTTCTCTTCTCTAGTCACTTCAGAAGGTGGGTAGATGCTTTCTCACAGCATTTATCCTCGGCAAGTACCACTCAGCCTGTTTTTCCTTATTCTCAGTTGTGTCCTATACAAAAGGCCTGTTTTTAATCTCATGGTTACAGGAAGGGTATGAAGTAAATAATTAATGCTGGCACTCCACCAATCCCACCCATTTCACTAACAGGTTAATATCACATGTGCACTCCACCCCATCTTACTCATAAGATTTAATTCTTGGGCTCTTTTCCTGTCCCTTTGTTTCTGCAACCTGCTCTTGTTTGTGTTTGATCCTTCCCTGGAACTCATCACCATGTTTAGTGCTCAGTGGCCTCTCCCGTGTCCCTCTCCCCCATGGCTCTGCTCACTCACAGTACCCTCCTTTTCCTCTCTCTCTAGTCCATGAAGACTCTTAACATCACATCTCTACTTGCATTCCCCATCATCAGCGTAACTTCTTTTCTTTCACTTGGCCCAAACTTGACAAAAATCCCACTAATATTTAGAAAGAAACAGGGTGCTTAGCATGGCTAGGAAGAACAGAGTAGGAAGTAACACATGTACAGTAAAACCTGCAGCTCCTTCAGAAAGGTATAATTTCTCATGAGGAATGACAAGGCACAGGGGCCAAACCTCATGGCACAATGCCAGAGCACAGTCTGTCTTTAATCTATCTATCCTGGGGGTTGACAGTGAACATCTACAGAACAGAAAGGTGGAAGACCAGAAGACTTCACCTCTCCCCAAACAAAAAAAAGCACCACATCTGTTCTTCAAGGTAAACGAAGGAACAAGAAAGCAGGTGAAGAAGCCAAAGGAGTTGTATCTGCCAAGTTATTTCAAACAAAAACTGAAGTGCCAGCCATTTAATCCATTCCTTGACTCCTTTCAATTGTACAAGCAGTGTTATTGTACAGGTAATTATTTCTGTACGTACTGTTTTTACTGGGGCACTTAATGTTCCCTTCCTTTTGCCAGAGTTGTCCATCCAGCACAGAATTTAATAAATCCATGCACAATTGCGACATTTTCTTGATAGTCTACTACATAAGCGTTAGAGAAAGTTGCCGAACAAAGCCTTTTGCTTCTGAACATCTGAAACGTGTTGATACTGAATGCCACGCAGTAGAGTGCAACTGCTCTGTAAGTCAACATTATGCCACAAATTAAGCATTACAAGAAATATTTAAATCACATTTTATTTTTCAAATTCAAAAATAACAGCTTTATTTAACATGTTACACATCTCACAGATTTAAAATATCATGCTCTATTTAAATATCTGAGTGACAACACTATACAAATAAAATGTTACACAAAATATATTTAAGAAAATGTTTTGGTCTTCAATCTGAACAATAAATAGACAGGCACTTCTACATATACAAAGGAAGCAACCACTATTTAGAATAACTCTTATAAGCAAGATGCGGAAATACAGAAGAAAAATCTGAGTTTTGAGAACAGGTTTAACTCTACATGAGACATCATGCAACTTCAAAGTTTGTTTCAAAATTCAAAACTCTTAGGATCTGCACAGTTCTAGATTTGCTACTGCTTTATAGGAGATCCAAACCATGCTCTCGTAAGCAATGTGCAATTTCCATTATTTGCATCAAATCAAGCTACCTGATCACATTTAGTGCCAAAACAGAAAACAAGGACTGACCAGAGTAGCTTTTCACCTAAATAACATGAGCAACAAGTCAGCTTTACCTCACATAAGCTTGGTGCAGGGGGCAGACCTAACTGTACCTACTGCCCAGCCCCAAACAAAATCTGTTCTTCCTTTTCCTTACATATTCAGCTCTTCAATGGGGTGTTTCAAACAGTATTATGCTTTTTTTATTAAAAAAGCATCATCTAATATAACAGTAAATCCTTCACACACAGGCACGCTTTGCACAAAAGATCATAAGTAAAGGAGAAAATATTGTTCCAGGGTGCAAAAAGACTGAAAACTATAAATTAAAAAAATTCAATAGTTAAAGTCTCCATAAGAGAGTGTTTCATACTTAAAGTAAAGTAAAACTATATTCCTCCAATTTGTGACTTTTCAATTTACAGTGGTTTCCAGGGGGCAGACCTAACTGTACCTACTGCCCAGCCCCAAACAAAATCTGTTCTTCCTTTTCCTTACATATTCAGTTCTTCAATGGGGTGTTTCAAACAGTATTATGCTTTTATTAAAAAAGCATCATCTAATATAACAGTAAATCCTTCACACACAGGCGCTTTGCACACAAAAGATCATAAGTAAAGGAGAAAATATTGTTCCAGGGTGCAAAAAGACTGAAAACTATAAATTAAAAAAATTCAATAGTTAAAGTCTCCATAAGAGAGTGTTTCATACTTAAAGTAAAGTAAAACTATATTCCTCCAATTTGTGACTTTTCAATTTACAGTGGTTTCCACACACCCACACACAAATACTACTCAAGGAAAAATTATCTTCCACCATCACAATTAATGAAAGATGCATTGTAGTAGGCAATCCCTGTTTCCAATACAGCTAACCAGTCACTGACAGCTAGTTACATCCTTGAAGTCCTTTTTAAAATTAATTTAAGACAAAGATTGAAACATAATGACCACCAGGACAGTGGAAAAGTCAGGACCAAGTCTTCAAGCCATCCCCCCAAATTTTAGTATTATTCTCATTTTCAGAAGTACAGGAGAAAGTTTCCAGAGAAAATTAAACTATTAAACAGAGCTTCAATGGTCCACCAAGAAAGTCAGACCCAAACTTGGAAAGTTATTTGGACTTAAGACACTTATGCACATTACTTTAACAATTTAAGTGTGGATCTTGCAAGCGTGTCCAAATCTTAATCATTTCTTGAGGTTTTCTACTATGTACTAACATTAAGTTTGTGTAGGAACATATGTTATTTCTGTATTTCTCTTCGATATCAAATGTTTTGAAGCCTTTGTGTTTTTCCGGAGCAAGCCCAAGCTTCTGAAGGCACATTCCAGTATAAACATCATCAATAGGGTAAAGGAGTACCTGGTCAGATGCATTATTCAGTCTTAATGCCAGATCACCAGAGTACAGAAACCCACCGCCTCCTGCGTATGGAGGATATGAACCTTCATAAACGCTTTCTGGGATGTAGTACTTCAATTTTTTTTCTCTGTGAGGTCCAGCATCTTTGATCACATCGCCTATAAATAAGTCTTTGGCTTTATCCTTCGATAAGCTCTTCAAGTAATCCAGGATCTGATGGGTATTCACAAAAACATCATCATCACCCTTAAAAATAAACTGGACATCTGCGCAACTGCTGCTGACCCACTTAAGAAACAGCACCTCTTTCAGAGTTAAATTAAAGAAAGTGTCTCTGTAGTTCCAGAGGAGAATGTCTTGGTGGGTTTCACTCTCAAATTTTATCATGTCTGAAAGATCAGGAAAATTATCCTCTGGTGGGGTCTGTCCAAGTAAGAAGACCCTTTTGACTGTCACATCCCCCGATTTTATTTCCTTGCCCCAGGACTCCCTAATTGCTTGCCTTCTGTCAAAATGGGGTGTAAGTGACTTAATAGCCAGCAGCAGAAAAGGTTTATGTTTGCACTTGTTTGGCTGATCCATTAATAATGAATAATTTCTACATCTCAAATAAAGTAGAAAGTCTTTGAATCTGTCTGGCAAGTTTGCAAAGTCACTAACCTCTGAAGGTACCCACGGGTCAGGGTCACAGGAACTGAGAACACTCGAGTTTGAAACTAAGTTCTCTTCCACAGTCATATTGGAAAGCAAGGTCAGAATAGGGTTGTACAGCAGTTCAAGCTTCTGTTGCTGTTTGTTCCAATAAGCTTTGTGAGGAGTATATTTTCTCCAGAATTTGCTGCGTGGTATAATAACATGGCCTTTTGCATTCTTCTCTTGGTTGCCACTTTTTGAGACTTCCACAATCACATAAATAAAAATGTTTACCATCATCAGAATTCCCAGCAGCTTTAATCTTCTGCGTCCAACACTCATTTCTCATATCTGGAAAGAGAAAAAAAATGACAGATTTTTAGCCTTCTTTCTATCAAGTTCTTGATCTCATAAAAATGCAAACTACTTTCAGATGAAGAATGTGCAAGTTAGTAGCCTAAAAACAGAGGTTACCTACACCCCAAAAAAGCAAAAACTAATCTACCTCTAATACATGCGCACCTACAGCTAGTAGGGGTTTGGGGTTTCATCAGCAAACAAGAAGCTGGTAAGAATGTAAAATTTCCATTTGCTACTTCGGAATTTTACATAGCATTTCACAGTGTGTCTAAATTTGCCAGCAGTTTTTGCTCCTCATTTAAGTCTCCTTGAAACGCTTGATTGCATAATAATCTGAGCCCTCAGCTTGGCAAAGGCAGGCAGAGAAACTTTTTTTTCTGCTAGTAAGGTAAGCTTAAGGGTATAGAATAAATTGCTATATGATAAGGTCAGTTATTTTTAAATTAAGTTTCTAGCTTTTATACTTGCACTCTTATACCTTCCAACTACATAATAGGTAGAGCTGAATTTTAAAGCATACAATTTGTTTCTGTCCATGTCACTTGGCTGTTCCTTGGGAGAAGAGGCTGACAAAACTGGCCAGCTGCATTGCTGGTATTCAGATCTCTGCAGACAGAAGACAACACGAATTTTGGTTTTTTTCCCCCCTCCAACTAGAAAAGGAAATTAATGGCAGCAGAAAGTGAAAGTGTAATTATTCCTAGGAAACAAAAAAAACACACAAGAGAAATCAAAAAAGGAGAGGTTTCCCATATACGTAAGACCAGGAATAGTAAGCGTACCTCTCTCTGTTGTAGCGAAGGTTATTCTGTGACCCATCTCCAGTTTTTACTGAGAGAAAATGGATCAATCCCTCTTTCTTCCACAGCTGTCATAATGAAAGGTGCAAAGTACAAGGAGGAACATGAAAACAGTGTGTTCCTCTAAAGTAGTGCCTATCAAACTGTTTACTAGCCCAGGGGGAAATCAATGTACAAGCTACACAAAATTTAACAAGCCATTCTAAATCAGGAAGTCAGACTAGAAAATAATTCAGAACGAATGAGAAAGTTAGTAAGACTACATTTAAGTCAGATACAGAACTCATTGTCAAAGATGCTTTCAATTGCCAGGAGTATAAATGATTATTGGAAGACCAGAAAAATCTAATGAAATAAAAGATTTGTAATGGCTGTTAAACCCAGCTGTAAACATTGCCTCGGAGGTCCTGAAGTCAGAGCAACAGCAGTCAGGAAGGTACACTTGAGAAGTACACCTTGTACTCGCTCTTTTCATTTTATTTCCAGCCATCACCAGACACCTGAGCTAGACTGACCCTTGGTCTCTTCTGGTTTGACCAGTCTTATTTTCTTTTACTCCTCAGCAAGTTAAACACAAAATTTAGTAAGAAAGCAGCAGGTAAATAATCAGTAATCTTTTTTTTTCTTATTTGACCCCTGGATTCTCATTAAATCCAAAGAAGGGGAGTATTTCTGAATTTAAATAAAAAGCCAAACAATGGACTACTCAGAGAAAAATCCCTACTCTTCTTTCATTTGACCTCATGTACCATCTGCATATTCATCTTTGCATACGCTCAGGCCAGATCTACTTTATTTAATGTCCTTTTCTCAGCCAGCTATGAAGTTTGCTGTTCTAATTTTAAAGTAGTTTTCTTCTATACCTCGAAGACAAAAAAAATACTTGTGGTCAGTGCCGTCACTTAAGCTAAAAAGCTGAACTGTTAGAAAGTACCGGCTGGCCACACAGAGTTCAAAAACTTTATCTTCCTCTTTCAACTGCCACAGCAGCTTCCACTAAAACCAGATCATTATATACTATTTTTCTTCACTTTCCTTTCAGTACACACAAAAATACTGGAGAAGCAGCTGTCCCGTGTTTTGTACTATTCCATGCAGTTCAGCATGCACATCAGTGCTTATCTACCCTGTCCTCTATAGCACTTCTCACTGGAACAAATGACATGGTATTTTACCTATGAACCCAGCACTTCCGAGACAACGGGGTGAGAAACTCCCCCCTAGTAATAGCTAACACACACCAAGATTGTCAAGAGCTCAGCCAGAGCCTGATTTTCCAGGATATGTAGTGCTACCCAGGTCATCTGTTCACAGCCCCCAGCTATGAGTATTCAGCACCTCTGTAAGTCATCTGGATGCTTGACCTGAGACTGTTCTGAACACAAGGAGACACCATTTGCAAAGACTTTATTTTCAATCACTTAACAAAATCCTTCAAATCACTAAGTCTTTTGGGTAAGCATTCAAATTCTGTAACTACAAGATCCTCTTTAATCTTCCTGTTTTTCACTTGTAGCCTTGCAATCCCCTGCAGCATGAGACAGGAATCCTACACAGAAAAATCTCCATTTACTGTTAAACTTGGTAGAACTTTTCATCAAAAAAAAGTACCTGCCTGGCAAGATGACATGGTTCCATCACAAAGCACAGTAAATGCTATCAGCCCCACATGTAAATACTTCCAGTATAATTTTCAGTCTCCTTTTTAAAAAGCTATCCAATATTGATGATAAATTTAATATTTCTGAGAAAAGTTAAGTAACAAGTGACATTCAATATCAATACAAGTAAGAGTTTTATAAGACATGAACACACACACCCCCAATTTTGCATGAAAGCATTCCTCTCTTCTGTAATCAAAAGCTATCTACATGTGGTTTTTTATCAATTTGTTAAGAATATAACTCATTAAGAATATCAAAGCAATACTAAGGGCTACCAAGTAAAAAAGGGATAAAAACTGCTTTGTTAAAAAAGCATCCTTTTTATAAACTAGACAAAGACAGGTTGTATTAAACACTTATTCATAGCATTAGATTGAGGTTCCTGAACAAAAAGCAAATAGAAAACAATCAGGCTTCAGAAAGGCTATTTCCATAAGTTGAAATAGAATCCTCAATTTTGCAATTAATGTATATTAGCTTTAATTATGTCCTGGTTTCGGCAGGGATAGAGTTAATTTTCTTCCTAGTAGCTGGTACAGTGCTGTGTTTTGGATTCAGTATGAGAGTAAGACTGAGAAGGCTGGAGGTGCACAAGAAGCTGGGAGGGGGCACAGCCAGGACAGCTGACCCAAACTGGCCAAAGGGATATTCCATACCATGTGACGTCATGCTCAGTACATAAACTGGGGGAAAGCTGGCTGGGGGGGCCACTGCTCGGGGACTGGCTGGGCATCGGTCGGCGGGTGGTGAGCAATTGCATTGTGCATCACTTGTTTTGTATGTATTTTTTTTTCTAATTGCAATTATTAAACTGTTTTTATCTCAACCCACGAGTTTTCTCACTCCTATTCTTCCAGTTCTCTACCCCATCCCACCAGGGCGGGGGGAGTGAGCAAGTGGCTGTGTGGTGCTCAGTCACCAACTGAGGTTAAACCAGGTTAAATTACTACACCTGAAAACAGGAATTGATAAAAGGATGCCAGTTTGGCAATTTCACATTAAGTGAATTGGATTTATCGCAAAACACCATATTACAACCCTCATCACGATGGTGGTGGTGGGGTTGCATTTGTAACGTTGCTAGTGGGGGTTTTGGGGTTTTTGTTTGTTTTGGGGAGGTTTTTTGTGGCTTTTTTTTTTTTTTTAAGTAAACACCCACAGCCCACGTCTCAAGGCAAATCTCATTTCTTATCTGCTTTGCTGATGCTGCAGTAATTGACCAAAGTGCCAGCACGATGGAGATTTTGTGCACTGGGCAGCTTGCTAAGAAGCAACATTGTAGAGTACAAGACAGCGCCCATTTCCTACCTACAGCTTAGCGACAGCGATCTGGACAGATCACAAAAAACTTTCTCCTATTCCAGTAATAGCTTCTTCCATCAGCATTAATATTATAAAATTATTATATATAATATTAATATTATAAAATTATAAAAATCCCCAGCTGACTCCTTTGACTGCTTTGAAGATCTGTTAGGGAAGCCAAAAACAAACTAAAAGTGATCTGGTTCATACTTAAAATCTATCTGATGCATTTTTATATGAGTTTTGTTGAAGAACTGAGATGAGCAGTACAAAGCAACACTCTATTTGAAAAATTCCTGCTGCTTTAGGTGTTAAAAAAGGCTAGAACACATAGCTAGCTAGCAGAAGAAGCAGAACAAGAGTAAACACCATATATTGGTAAAGAAAATGACAGTACACACAGAACCTCAGGAACAGAAAATCCTGCAGAAATTTATTCCAACTTCAGCAGGTAAGATGAAGAGTTACCTATACTCAAAGGTGCTCTGACACACGGTTTTTCAACGCCTGTTTTCAACTTCTCAGCTACACTGATATGAAGATCATTTTAGCAATCAGTTCAAGTTTGTACAAATCATCACATTTCTGCTTATGCAACTTCCAGCTGCGCACTTATGCATCAGTATCACTGCATACATAAAGTCCATTTGTTCAAAGCCTTTAGAAAACATCCATGTGGCTAGAAAAAAAAAAGGGTCAACATTAACCATACTCTGGATAAACCAAGATTCTGCTACAGATACAGTATTTGTAAAGATTGATTCTGCAGAAACGGGGGGAAAAGAGGGAGGAGTTGCCCTCTTCAGCTCCACTCTTACATTTCACTGCAGTCAAAACTAAGGTATTGATAGAATGGAACAGATTTATGGAGCCACAAAAGCAGCACTGGTATCAAGAGATGGATGGAAAAGGCAAGCCAGCGGAACCTGTGAAGAAAGCAGCTTCACTGTGGGACAAGGCAGCAATCAATAAAACAAGATGAACCACAACAGAAGAAGAAAACAGGTATTACAAGAAGCCATGAGCTACAAGAAAAGATTCCAAACACCCCAAAAGCTTTAAGTCCAAATAACATTAATGCAAAATGGTGAGAAACTGTTCACACGTTGTTTTTAAACAGTATTATTTGATGCTTTATCTCAAGAGTGAATGTATTCCAAAAGTCTGTAAGGAACCTACTCAGAAGTCTAGAAGAGCTGGTATGAAGTGAGAATCTCACAGGATCTCTCTCCTGAGCTGGAAGGGACCCATGAGGATCATTGAGTCCAACTCTTGACTCCACACAGGGCAACCTAAAGGTTAAACCATATATCTAAGAGCATTGTCCAAATGTTTCTTGAATACTGAGTATGCACAATCCATCCAGTTCCAGGAATTAATTATACAAGAGACTTTTCTGGAAGCAAGAATTTACACAGACAGGGGCCATGATGCCCCCTGACAAAAGACAAGGGTTACATCTGGAGGAGGCCAAGCTCAAGGTCAAAACCAAGAACAAGTACATCTAAGTGTACCAGCCCCTAACTAAGGGCACATGCAATACATCAGTTTGAACTTCTCACATTGGAGTTAGGATCCTGCAGAAGAATTCTGGTCAGCCCTGTTACAGCATTTGATTTTCTGTAATGACTTCACAACATTAGTATGTTAAACATGTGATGACAGTTTTAACTTTTCTTTTTTTTTTTTTTTTTAAACTGATGCTACTAAGACCTTGCTAGGCA